ACCCACACACACACACTCACACACACACCCGCAGCCGCCTGGGTCCCGAACTACGAGCGGCCGTTTCTCTTCTCTCCGCTCCGACTGCATTTCGGCTGGCGATTTTTACCGCTCCAACCCCGAGGGTTTCCCGTGACCCATGGTTCCATGCGCGTGTGTGTGGGGGGGGGCGTGTGTGTATGTGGAAATGTGGAAATGTGCGTGATTAATATCGACCTGTTGCAGTTTCCGTTTCCCACTGACCCCGTGTGTTTATGTACGTGTGTGTATGTATGTATGTGTGTGTGCGCAGGTGTCTCCGGATGGCTCGTCCTTCACGCTGGGCACCGATCTCGATTTCATATTCACTGGCTTCAGGCAAGTCATGTACGACGGGCAGCGCCAGTACGGCAGCATCCGTACAAATTCTTTTCTGACGACTGAGCAAGGTTTTTCGTGAAGTGCTATGAACCACGTTTCTGTTGTGTGTCGAGGCGCACACGCTCTCGCGCGCGTGAGATAGACTTCTTCGTTGATCTTAGTCATATGACGTTGACGGGGTTCAACGTCGGCCCGATGGCAACACAACACCAACAAAAACGGCTCTCGGGAGGACGTGCTCTCGACGTGTGTGTGGGGGGGGGGGAGAGGGAAAGAGAAATGGCTTGAAACACGTACAAGTGTACACAGCGCCACCACAGGACGTCGTACGATGTACGGCTTACGTGATTGTTGTGGACACCGCGCGGGGGGCCAGCGGGGCTTGGGTATATCACAGCATCGGCCGACTAAGGGCCGGGGCGGGGCAGCGATAGGGGCCAGGAGCGGACATGTGCGGTGCTAGATCTATAGGGGAATCTATCGCCAAATGTTCGACAACCTTCAGATGCGCAATTCGGTTTCCTTAATTCTAAATCCACAACCAAGTACATGGGGAGGAGGGGGTGGGGGGGTACGGGGGCGATACGGCCGATATGGGGGTGCAAAGGGTTTGGGGTTGTAAGAGAGGAGAGGTACAAGGAGAGATACACGGGGACGGCGGGCTGCTGCTCAGCTTCCCCCCCCTGTGCGGGCCGCAACCGCCGCCTGCAATTGCTGCACCTTGTGATGTTCTCACATAGCCCTCACCTAATTTATTGATGTCGTCGTACGACGACAAACCCCTTCCCGCCCCTCGCGCATTTTGACGGTCCGCGGCTCCGTACTGCGGCTCTCCACCCACCTCGGCACGTTGTTGTTGCTGTCCCACGCGGTGCCAGGGGGCCCTGCGAGTGGAAGGCGCCGGGCCATCTGTCGTACACCGTACGGGAAGTACGGGTCGAGCTGAGGTGGCCCAAGGCCTGGCGCCGCGCTTCTGCATGGCTGGCGTGGCGGCGGCAGCGACGGATGGACGGCGGCGGCGGCGGCGGCGGCGGTGGCGGTGGCGCCGCCCCGGGTGACGAGCCTGACTGGGGGAGCTCCCTACCGACATCGCCTACGTGTCGCGAGGATCCCGCAGCGCCAGCCACCACAATCCCGCTACCGTTCCCTACAAATGAGCTTTTGGTGCGGAACGCGCATAGATGTCATACTATGTTGTACGTTTGTTGTCTTTAGGGGCCAAAATAATTCAACAGAATTTTCTATTTGCTATTACTTACTGCACTGCGGTTATGTGCGCAACGTAGAATTTTGTAGCTAATTATAAGGTTCATTTTTGCCTTCAAGGCAGCTGTTTGCTTTGCGTCTTCGGCAATTTTCTGCAAGACACATTTTCTGCAGCAAACGTTTTCGTTTGTGCCAATTGCCATTTTCTCACCCATCGACTCGTGGCATCTAACTGTTCCTATGTCGCACAACTTGATTTGTTCTATGCGGTTGTGGGACGAAATGCGGTTGAGGTTGACGTTGTTACGTCTCCAAAACGTTTCTTCCTCCTCCTCCTCCTCCTCCTCCTCATCATCATCATCATCCCGGTTCCAATCCTCCCCACCTCATCACCTCACGCAGGCGTTTAGCTGCAACGGCCGCGTGGCCGCTACTCGCAGTCGCCTCACCAACGGACTGATCCTGCTGCTCGAGGTCAGCACTCGCGATAGGCTGCGAGGCGCGCAACAGTAGGAATGGCACGATGATGATGACGTTGATGACGACGAAGATGACGACGAAGATGATGCAGAATACAGGATGCAGGATTCCGACCTCCTAGAGGGCTGGCTGGCCGGTGGGGATGGGGTGGAGGGAAGTGGGAAGGGTGTGTGTATGCCGGAAGTTGCTCGTGCCTGTCACTGCAGCTGACTAGAGAATGAGTACCCTTGTTAGATGCAGCATGTATCATTGTTATATGTAGGTAATGTATCGGTAGTGTACATGTGGTAATGAGCTGGGTGAACTGGTGTAAAATTCGGCATGGATGGATGTATGGGCGATCGATTGTGACCCTCGGTCGAAGCAGTGGGATGCGTCTAACAGGGTTGAAGAGCCGTATCTGTCTTCACCATGCTTTTGGAAATAGCCTTCAGAAGCTGAGCAAGCCAGGAGATGTTTGTTCTTTAAAAGTACGTCTTGTCTTTTACCCAGACGAGTCAGATGCATGCCGTAATGCGAGGCCGGAGCGAATCTGATCAGGGTCACGTGGCCCTAGGGTTTCAATTCTTGGCAGCAGATTGCAATCCCATCGACATCACAGGTACCTCCTATTATTTTATAGCTATTGCGAACAAATAATCAACCCGGCTAGCAGGCTGAAATGCGTAACGCAATGCCAACCTCCATGAGTAAGGATACCGTAATGCTAAGCAGATGCCAAAGGGCAGCTTCAAATTTATCTGAGATTATAGTGTAAAATCCTCTATTACTGTGGAATACGTATCGCGAAGCATCTTGTGCACCAGGCACATCTTCAAATTGCACAGCCAAACTTGGAAATAAGCAACTTGAAGCGGAAAGGACAAACACGTGCTTAGGATAGCATAATGTAAAACAATCTGCAACACCTGGACGCATCGAAGATGCATTCCTAACCCGTACCGTGTACCAACCGAGGTACAGCAGCAGATATTGTGCATGTCAGGTCGGCATCAATGATATTAGATACCTTTTGCGTAAGTTTCGTTTTTAGCTTACTGCACTTCCCAGGGTATCTGTTTTATCTGCGCGTATGTAATGCAGCCACAAATGGCTCCGCTTCCATGGGAGCAACATTTGCCGCAAGTGGTATTTTTCCACAACGGCGCAAGCGCCCGGCTTGTCACAAGCCATGGAGCCTCGTTCGCAACTGTATATGTCGCCTGCTCCTGTGATTCTTGCAAGAAACGCCCACTTTCGCCCTATCGTACTGGGGGCTGTGTCCTCGGTCTTGGCGACTGGGCGCTGCACGTCGGCCCCAAAGCTGCTAGCTTAGCGGAGGTACAAGTTGTAAAGTCTGGCTCTGAAGAAAAGGTAAGTTGAGAGATTCTCTGCTCAAAACCCTCAACACGTCAAGGGGTTGTTTCATTACATGAGCCCCCAAGTATTGACTACGTCAGCTGCGTGAACCTGAAAACGCTTCGACCTTTTAATTGGTGCCATTTTGCCAGCTCATGAGGAATGACCTGTCTATAAAGCCCGTTCTCCCCCTAATAATCCGAGGGTTCATATCTAAACCACGTATTGGCCATAGGCAGTTGATTATGAACATAATTTTGTTTAGAACGAAGCGGCCTCACCCGAAGCTCTCCGGTGGTCGCCCTTCGCGCAGATTCCCCTCGCCGCTTGGCTGCAGTCCGCCAGTTTGCAGATGGGAGGGGAATGCTTGAGGCGACGGCAGGTTAACGTCTTCCATTGGAACGGCAAACTGGTCCCAGACCGCACTGATGCGGTGATCAAGCCGGGCATACGTGATGTACCCACTACACAACTGCCAACAGCGTTTGAGGGCCTGGGATCGTGGAGAGCCGCAACTATACGCGGCTACGATTCCTCCACATGTCGCTTTGAAGTCAAGTACGTTCAATCTCAGCTTGGACTTAGTCTGACCTGTCGATGCGCACGTCAATAAGCCTGTCCTAGTGCTCTCAGCTACATAAGCTTGTCCAATTGGGCAAAACTTAAGCTTCCGTCCTCGCGTTTATTCTTATTACGTCAGTAGTTAACAACGTCCACTTTTTTCTGGCCGCATACTTAAGTTGCCCAAAAAACATTGCTTGCTTGCCCTAAACACCACCTTCGCAGGTATCATGATGAGCCAAAGCGCAGCCAAGCGCATATCTGGCTGCCGCTCGCAGTCTTGCACTTTGCGCGCAACCCTCCAGCCAATGAGGCCGCCATCCGCTCGTCTTTGGATAGCCCACAGCTGCCCACATCGCCCACAGCCCCGCCTTCGTTCGGCACCCACGGCGACATAGCCATGTCTCAGCTGCCATTGCCAACTCTCCCATTGCCGTTACCGTCGCTTCTGGCGCAGCCCCGGCTGTGCGCGTTTGGTCAAACGCTGCCTGCGTCAGCGGTCCTCCTGGCGGCAGCGGCAGCAGCAGCGGCAGCGGTGCCGCAGCTTCAGGAGAGGCTACCGGCGCCCCTCCAAAGCAGCTTCCACACCATGCATACTGCGCCGGACTCCTCCCAGGCTTCCCAGCAGGCCAGCCCGACCGGTCCCTGCCGACCGGAACATGAAGGCCCGGCGACCCTTATCGGCAGTGAAGTGGCCTCACCTCATCGTTGCTTTGGGAGGGGATCTGAGCCGACCGCTTCCGCACGACCGCCGCCGCAGCAGCAGCAGTGGCCGCACCTCCAGCAGCAGTATCAGCAGCCAGAGCTGCGTCAATGCTTCGCTTCCAGCACGCGACTCTGTGGCGCCGCCAACGGCGACGACGATGACGGTGGCGCTATTTGTCGTGGCAATGGCACAGACGGGGTTCCAGGCGCCGCGGCGGCGGCGGCGGCGGCGGCGGCGGCCGCACCGCCGCCGCGTCCATCACGGAATCCCCTTCCGGGCTCCCGAGCGGAATCCTTTCCGTCTCTGTCATCGAATTCCGACTCCGGTAGCAGCAACAGCATCGGCGGCGGAACGGATGCCGCCCCTGTTGCCAGCGGCGACGTCGGCAGTCATAGCAGCGGCGCCGGGGCTAGTGTTGGCGGTGTCGGCTGTGCAACCCCGCGCTCTTCGGAACGAGCCGCTGCTGCCAGTGGAGGCAGTAGCGGGGGGGCCCCCATTGCGACAGCCCCTTGCGGACCCTGGCGGGTTGTAACCGTCGAGCATCCGGCGAATGGTGAGATTCAGATTAGATGAGAGGCTCCATACAAATGTCGCGCCTAGGAAATATAATAAGTTTTCTTGTTCACCCTCATTATTTTACATGGAATCAAACGAGGCATCCTGGTTCGAAACTCCCTTGCAGCAACTTCTCTGACTTATTTATATGAAACGCAAGAAAGAAAAAGAGAAAGCAGGAGTACAAGCGATTATGTAGGTTGGATTACTTCTGATTACTATAATCGGATTTGTGTCTTGGAAGGTGTTTTTATATTTATCATGTTTGCCTTGTTCATGCAGGCTTCACAGTAGATGGGGGTAGCTGGCCTCATCGTCGTAACCTGGTTCCGGAGCCAACCGCCGATGCTCCAGAGCCCCCTCCTCGGGCCCCACCATGCGCCAGCTTCTGGGCTACTGGCTTCGCTCTACCTGCCGTACCTACCGTACATTTAAATGCTGACGTGGCCGTTGGAGATTGTACCTTCCAGGCAGCGCCAGCGGGTTTGACCGGTGGCGAGGCCGCCGACGCCGACGCCACGGCGCTGCTGCCAGCATCCGTCGGTGGCGGCGACGGCAACCCCGCAACGGCGACGACTGGGCAGATGGAAGACCGTACGACAACGGCAGCTGCGGCGGCGCCTTGGTCGCCCGGTGCAACATCCAGCCCCGTCGATGATGACGATTTTGCAGCTCTGTATGCAGGTGGGGTTGCGGAGGGTGGTTGGCTGCGTGCCATAACTTGTCCGTCCGGGAACCGGAGCTGGAAGTTTAGTCAGGCAGGACTGTCGGGGAGCAGCGGGAGGATTTCCTGGGGTGTGTGGGTTTTGGATTGGGCACACTTTCCCCACCTCCCCCCCTCGGGATGTGGTTGCTGCGCGTGTTGAGCACTGAAAAGCTGAGCGTAGATACATGCATACATATATACATATATACATATACATACATATATATACATATGTATACATATATACATACATATATCTGCACAGATATACGACATGATATAACTGTAAGCTGGGAAGCACGTACGACACTGGAGATGAAAGGTCGTGTTGTTCAGGGATGTAACGGGACATATCCCGGACAACGTGCTGGCGGCCACCTACGCGGCTAAGGGGCAGGTGCCCTCGGACTTTTTTAAGTCCTACACGCTCAACATCGAGGTGCAGGACGTGCCTGGAGTGCTGAACCCGGCTGGATGTCCAGGGACATATATCCCGGCTGGACGTCTCGCGGCCGACCTTTCCAAAGCACACGTGCCTTTGTGTTTGTGGGTGTCCCCCTGCCCTGCCCCGCCACAGAGCTGTGCAACGAAGAAGTCCTGAATGCCGACCAGCAGCTTGCGCCGCCGCCAAGGCTTCCAGACTCAGCCAGCTATGTCGCCGGTGCTGCAGCCGCCGGCACTGCCAACGCGGCGGCCGCGGGGGGCACCACCACCGCAACCGACAACCGTAGCGGCACCACCACAGCCGCGGCCTCCGGGGTCCATTTGGCTCCACTGTCCGGTCCAATCGCCGCCGCCGCCACTGCTGCAGATAGCGCCGCCATCGCGTGCCGTACACTGTCACCTCAACTGTCGGCAGCGACGGCAGCGACGGTGTTAATGCAGCCTGGGCCGCCGCCTCTGATGCAGTACAAGTCCATGTCGGCGTCTGGGACGGGCAGCAGCATTCATCCCTTACTTTGCTCCATATTGGAGCGACAGAAGCAGATTATAATGACGATGGTAAGACTTGGCATATTGCCGCCATCGCCGCCGACGCTGCAGCAGCAGCAGCAGCAGCAGGGCCTCCTTCCCGCCTGTCTGCCATCTATGCAGCCGTTACTGTCGCCACCTCCACTTTCCCCCTCCCAGCCGGAAGCTACAGCCATAGCCACAGCTACAGCTACAAATGCTAAGCGGCCGGCAGCTGCTGTGGCGGCGGCGACGGGACAGGAAGAGGCAGCGGCGGAGAAGCCGTATGACAGGATGCTGTACGATGGTTTCAGAGCCGAGCCGCCGCCACGGCAGTCATCCGGTGTGGAAGCGCTGGTAGCTATCCTCAAGGAGTGGGATGAGGCGCCGCAGGTGCCGCTGCCACCACCACCACCACCACCACCACCACCGGCGGCGGCGGCGGCAGGCGGCTGGGAGGGCCTGGAGGCGGATACAGCCCGGGCGCCCGGCGCCGCAAAACGTCCTCGACTGACTTTCTGACGGTCCTTCATTCTTGGCGTAAGCTTCTCAGCGCCTGCCGTACAAGCTGGTGTCTTTCCAGTACGACTGTCACCGTACGGATTGTTCTTTTTACAGAGGGCTCTTTCTGTCTCTGCGCGCTGGACAACCCAACCCACCCACCGCCGCGGCCGGGCCCCGTGAGCCCCTCTGTGTTTATTGTTTTGCAATGACGCAATGGCCCCCGTGAGCCCCTCCTGGAGCTTTATGTTTGTGCGTTTGTGCATAGCTGCCAGTTCTCTGCTGTTTTGTGCTCAATGCATATGCCTGCTGATGCTTTTGAGTCATTTGAAAAGGGTTGAGGAGTGTGGCGGCGTTACGGTGCTCTGTCCCAGCACCCCACTTTACGCACAAACCTCACCCGCCCAGTGATGCTACCTGAGCCCCCCTGATGTGTTTGCTGTTTGCCGTTGCCTGAATAAAGTATTTGTTTTGGTTCTATCTGCTGCTCAGAAGTGGGGCATTGCTAGCTTTAAAATCGTTCTTATGTCTAGCTAGCTAGCTTGTTTTGAAGTTACAAAAAGAGGAGTCCTCAAGTACTAAGGGCCTTGCTCACTGTTGATGGTTAGGATATGATGATGGTTGATGGTTATGATATGGTGATGCGGGAACTGGTTGCGTCTTCGGCTTACCGGCCGGCGTTTTCCTGCTCGTCGGTTGTCGGTTGGGGTTTTGCCCTATGCGGCGATTGGGCCTCCGTGCCCGGAGAAACGCGCGTGGATAGATGGTCCCGCAATCAGTTGTGTCGCGTGATTCGCAAAAAAGGCTTAGATGAGGGAATCGAACAGTCGCAGAGGAAGGCAGCAGCGCATATAATCATATTAATATATCATATATATCGTGTCATGTCATGTTCGCGGTGAGGAGTTGGAATTGAAGTGTGCGGGTTTGACGATGTGCAAGGATGCACGATATGCAAGGATATGTGCCCAGCGCACATAAATGCGTGAACCTGGTTGTTTGAGGTTTGAATTTTAACGGAGTGTTTTGTAAGGGGGGATTTGTGTTGTATGTGATGTTTAGGGATCGATGGAAATAGCGCAGCAGGTCAGCAGTCCTCGGGGGGCGGTTCAGCCTTGTTTGTTCGCGAATTCGGGTCGCTCCTGGCTGGAAGAATATATCCTGCATATGTTTATGTATGTATGTATGTATGTATGTATGTATGTATGTGTGTGTGTGTGTGTGAGAACAGAAGCAGGTTGAGCTGTAATGCTCTCTTCTGATGACCGTTTGTGGAGGTAACTATATGGTGGTTAAGTTCCAATGACGTGGGGTCAATGCCAAAAAAGAGGGAATTTTTTTGTTGAAGGGTGATGGACGAACCGCCTGCATGGACTTGACGACAGGTATGAAAGTACGAGGACGACTTGCATGTCTTGCAATGGGCTTGTGGGATGGGGATGATGAGCTAAAGTAATGCTTCACGGAGAAGCGCACTTTTTCAGACTTTTCCTCCGTCTTATGGGTTGTGGTGGGCTGTGTGTAGGTTGGACGAAAATGAAGGGATGGTGAGGAAGGACAACCATACTACATGCCATCTGGAGGCTTGTCTGATGTCTTGCCTGATGTCTTGCCTGATGTCTTGTCTGGTGTCTTGTCTGATGGCTTTTTACATTTGTTGTTGTGGAACGCCGACGTGATGCCAGACGTGAAGGCTGCAGAATGTAATCGGATGTAGGTTCTGGACTTAAGGTAGGAGCTGGGTGGTACGGAAAGGGCAAAAAGGTAAAGGTCCGTACCCCGTTCGTACCCAGGGACCTCCGGGAGCGGGTTTCGGTGCAATAGCATATGCAGATAGATACACAAGCAGAGTTTGGATTACCGTGGCTTACCATTGCCGTGGCTGTTGCTAAGAAAAGCATATAGGTCTCGTAATTACATACATACGCACATACATACAGTTGTTTCTCTGTTTCGCCCATCATGATTTCTGGATGTGTGGTGTCCGAAATTCTAATACCTGTATGTATGTATGTATGTATGTATGTATGTCCCGCATTTCGTTTCGTTGGCTTAGGGTTGACCTTGTCGTGCTGCATATCGACTCTTTGTCGTACTTTGTGGCAGCTGATGTTTTGAGTGTCGTAACTCGTCCGATATGTTAGTGTTTGTGGCCCCATCTGTGCCCCCCCCCACCGCCTCTATTGCCCTTTCTTCTATTATTGTGTGCCCATCGCGGCGCTCGATGGGATTCGAACACGGGCGGGGACCATCATCGCGAAAGTGGTTGCTGGTTTTTTTAGTCCCTTCTTTCCGAGGAGATACAGCCTACTGCTACATACTGCCATCCTGTCGCCGGGCGCGGCAGTAGTAGTAGTGGCGGCGCGCTTTTGCTGTCGTACTTCGCTTCGGGTTATTCCGGTGTGTACGGTGTACGGAAGCAAGCGCAAGGCCTTCCATGGACGTTGAACTGTCTGGATCCTGTTACAGTTACAGTGTTTGTGTGCCCCAAAATGGATTTTTTTATTGGATCCAATGAATGCTAGGCGGCGTGTCGGTGTATATCACTAGGTACGTGATTTGCGCGCCCTGTGTCGCCGCCGTCGGAACCAATGAGTTGACGTCATCTTGAGACATGTGCACCGAGGCCTGGAGCGCTAACCAGCGTGATGTAGGCTGCGGCTGCGGCTGGGGCCCTTCTGTAGCTGTAGACCTTCCCACAATCGCACAACGGAATGGGTTTTACTCTTGGTTCGCACGACAGCTGCGCCTGCCTGCCCTGCTGGTGCTCATAATGCCATGCACCGTGCTAAGGCTCTTTTGACGTTTTCGTGATCCCTAATACTATATAACTGCTGTCGAAGTTGCAATTGTATTGGCAGCTGTAGTTGCTGTTGCTGGTGGTGCTGCAGCTACGTCGGTTTACTGTGCTGCTATTTCCGTTGCTGACGCAGATTGTTGATGTTGTTGCTGATGATGTGATGTTGCTGTTGATGGTGACGAAATTCCCGCTGATGGTGTTGGCAACGTGTTGCTGCTGTTGGTGGTTCCGTTGAGGGGCGCCCCGGACAGCCCGCCCGTGACAATTGAATGGGCGGTGTCCACGCATGCCATTGTACGGAACTGTCATACGGTGTAGCCTAGTTGTCCAACACCTGTTTCCCGTTAGGCACTCCAAAGCGGGCTGCTAAGGCGTCTGCCAGTCTTAGATCGCAACGTCATCAGGGTTGGTCCTTGGCAAGGTTCCCCTCGGGTATTATTTGGTTATAAGGTGAGTTTTGGCGGAAAACCTTCGGGGCTGGTGATTTCGGGGCTGGTGGTTTCGGGGCTGGTGATTTCGGGGCTGGTGGTCGCCCACCCATCCAGCCAATCCGCATTGATCAAAGTCGCGTAAGGGGGTGCATGAAGGCGATCGTGCTAAACAACTTCCGTGCACCCCATTCCGCGTGCCCTCTCCGTCCCTATACGGTCACTCTGAAGTCTTTTGCATGGGAGGAAATAATTCGTGCAATTCTGCAGGTATATCGACATACATACATACATACAGACACATACGAGACAACTGGGCGCATGTGTTGCTGCATTTATTTTTATTAGGGTTTATGACTGGAGGGATGAGAAGCTGCTTTTCCGATTTCCGTATTTTTTGTGTGTATGTGTGTGTTTTGTGCTCTCATGTGTGTGTGTGTGTGTATATGTGCACGCGGACTTTTGTGCGTTATTGTAGATTTTTTTAATAGATCTTGTGCGATTAATCTGCCGGCGTGTTTTGAGATCGTGGTGGTGCCTTGATCCGGTGAAACGATGCCAGAGTATAACACCATTTCCGCACGCAATCCCTATGAGCAGGGTGGTAGGCGTGGGCGTCGGCGTGGGCTTAAGCACTTGTGGTTTTGGCGATGTGCGCGTCTGTATGTGTGTCAGGTGAAGGTGTCCTAGATAGGCACCGCAGCGGCGATCTCGGTTGGAGATCTGTCCCCCCCCACACACAGAGATGGTGCATGTGCCTCCTTGGATCTGTATGTATACCCACACCTTGAGTGTGTTTTGGGTAATGCCTTGGCCTTCACCGTCCTGGCTGACTGGGGCGTCCAATGAGCAGATGATGTCCCCCCCTGGAGTTGTACGTCTGGGTATTTAGGCTTAAAGACGGTTGCCTCATCATGCGCGTTGTGGACATGACATGCATGTCTGAGTTTCCTTTCAGACTCGCAAACGGTGGCGATAGAATGTGGACTACTTGGTGGTTGGGCAACAGGTGGTTGTCGGTTGGTTGGTTGGTTGGTTTGGTGTGGAAGAGGTGGAGAGGGAGGACGAGCGAACATGCGTGGGCTATGAAAGGGTGTGCACGTGGATGTTGTACGAACCTGTCGGTGAGTCGTACCACACCCTAGGTTGTACGACTGTCCCAGGAACTTCGGGTCGTTCCTCTTGTCGATCCTCCTGGTCTTGATGTGGTTATATGATTAATAATAAGAAACGCACGTGTGTCGCCTGAATGCTGTTGAAGCGAGGAGATTGCTAAGCACGTTATGTGCAAAAGCATGGATGGATAGGAAATGAAAAAAGACGTCGATGAAGATAATGCGCATTGCGTTGTCGATCAGGGCATTTTTGCGTCGAGGTAAGATGGTAACAGAAGATGGATCCAGTCGGCACAGAGGGAAAAGGGGAGCGGTCGCGAGCGCCACCGTTAAAATTGAAAGGTACAGACAATTATTATAACAATAAAAAAGACAAAGGAGCAAAGGATTTTTTTATTCCTATCAAGGTGCAATCTTGAGGGTATCACATTGGCGGGAAGGGACGGGGGTTTTAGCCCTTTGGACATCCGTACGGATGGCTCGGGGGGGGATGTGAGATTTATTTATGTCTGTTGTTGCTGTTCCCTTCATATCTGCATGTGGATCTTGTTTTTTTAGCTCATTCTCCACTGGAATGCTGATTAAGTCAGCGGTTTCGGCGTTGTTTTTGTTTGTTTTGGGGGAAGAGGGGATCTTTCCCCGTGTGCGGCTCTATGCGGGTTTCATGGAGGAGTGATGGAGCGGCCGAAACGTGCGGTGCGAGACGGACGTGCGCTGCCATGTCTCTCTTTTTTTTAACCTTTCCACTTCTGTGCTACTGTTGGGCTTTGTGGAATAGCATAACCTTACAACGAAAACATTATTACATATGTACGAATAATATTTTGCCATTGTTAACATATTTCCGTATTTTGGGGATTAATGGAGATTAATGCTGGCGGAAACGAAGTTTGGTTGCATGTTAAACCAGGTGCCAGGTGCTGGTCATGTATGTTGTATAAATTAAACGGTGACAACTGTTACAGCCGTA